ATATGCTTCATTCTACAAGTTTTTATTATGTCATTTTTAAGCAGCTTTATCAAGATGTCTTAAAATCATGGTCTTCCTTATATAAAAAGAGTAGATTATGTGACTTCGGAACCTCCAAATGTATGAGAAAACTCAAAGAGAATACAGAAAACAGTACATATTGTGAGAATAGTGCTTCCCATAACACTAGTTGACCCAATTTGTACAACCTTGACTATTTGTGGNCGTAGTTTTTACTAAATCGGTGTGAGATTTTTATAAATTGCAGTTATAATCAGATTATTGAATCTTCTTTATTTTGTATGGATTTATCTGCAGATGATAATTTCTTTTGAACTTCCATTTGCTCTCATCCCTCTTCTTAAATTCAGCAGCAGTTCCACCAAAATGGGACCTCACAAGAACTCAATCTATGTAAGCTCATTTTTCTCCCATTTCTTTCTATTTTCAAAATTTAATTTATATATAAAAAAAAATTTTATGTCAAGGAGCTTAAGTTTAAAACACGTTAGACCGGACTTCGGCCATGATATTTCAGTTTGGCTACATACTAAAGATATGTTTAGGAAGTGTTTATAAACGATTTGAATTATAATTAATACATAGTGCTGAAAATGGTTTAAGTGTGTAGTACTTGTGGATTCCTCAAAATGTGTGGGGAAAAATAATTTGAGTGTTCATAAACAATCTATAAACTTGAGCTAAACTTATGCTGATCTTGTTTTCAATTCGTCAATATATCTGTAAAAACTCAGTTAACATTTACCATGCTCAAATATTGAAGAAAAGAACTTAAAAAAGATCCAAATACTATTCTAGTTTTCGAAACACTTTCTATCATAAATTACCTTTTTGCCTAATTGATTAATTTAAATTTCTGTTTGCAGATCGTGGTGTTCTCATGGACATTGGGGCTGGGAATCATAGGCATCAACATCTACTATTTGAGCACATCCTTTGTGGACTGGTTAATCCACAACAATTTACCAAAAGTTGGGAATGTCTTTATTGGAATCATAGTTTTTCCATTGATGGTTGTCTATATAATGTCAATAATCTATCTTATGTGTCGCAAAGACACAGTTATCACCTTCATCGAGCCCACAAAATTCGACTCAATCGCTCAAGCGCAAATGGAAAATGGGAACGACAACTTAGATGGTGGACACGAGATGCAACCGGTTCCATATAGAGAGGATCTTGCTCATATTCCATTGCCTCAATAGAGTTGTAGGAATAGAGAGTTCTCATGATCAACCCCCTTTTCTCAACTTTTAGCAAGTTCAAAGGAATGTTGTTTATCATCAATATAGCTAGTGTTAATCAATAGTTAACACACACACACACACACATGTATATATATCTTCTATTTATTAAAAGTGGCTATGTAACGGAATTTTTTGTTTTTAACGGAAAAATTAACGGAATTTTTTGTTTTAACGGACTATGTAACGGAATTTCTTGTTTTAAACAGGCAGCTGCACCTTCTTTCAGTATTTTTATCATAACTTTGTATTCCGATATCCGATTGAGGCGATTCAAAATGCGTTGGACAGCTAACTCATC